AAGATGATTGCGACTTTTATAGGGCTGCAACAATTTTGCCGTGTTCTGTAACTTCTGTAGTACCAGTGCCGCTGCAGCAAAGACAAACGGGCAAGTGCATGGTTAACGCAACCTTGCAGAAAATTGTTTGGGACCAAACAATGGCGGAACTGAAGAGGGATTCACCCATATTGTTGTTCCCACTGCCTACGCTGCAGTGAAGTGTATGCTTCCACAGCCGGGCTCGGCGTTACGGACGGACGTCGTCTTTTATTAAGCAAAATACAACAATTGCAGAAGAAGTCACTTCAGCATTGTGGAAAACTCTGTATGAATTCTGAACACTGTAATAGCTTCAGCGTGGCTGCTTTGTGTTCGCATTTGAACAAGTAGAGCGTTAAACTCTACACTCTAATTATGAGATTTTCTCTCTCATCTCCTGAGTAAGTGACCTAATAAAGGAGAATTCCTTTGCAGAATCTCATATGCTGAAGTTGGGAGTAAATCTAAACCAACTTGATGGGCTTTGATGGGGCTTGCTGCATTGAAGTGGCACATAATTAAAAGCTAATGCAACAGAAAAATATAAACCGTAGCAGTTATTTTAATCAAAGCCTGATGTGCTTCTAGCATTTAATTTATAAATTGCCTTTGGCTGTGCTGTGCCAGAAGGATTCACTATTTTTAATAACAAAACAGAAATGCATTCTTGTCATAGAGGAGTAGGTTTGCTTTTAGTCATCTGACAGTACTAGTTGCTACAAACACTGAAGATAATATGGAACTCTCTGTCAATTGCTTATGTTTAATGGGGATTATAACTTGTTTAATTATTTGAGGTAACTTTTTATCCTTCAGAAATGTCCCTGGGTATGATTGTGTATATGCATTAACTTCATTAGTGGATCCTGGCACTCTCAGTTGCCAGCTGTACAGCAAATATTTGTGTGTCTTGAAAGTGCATGCTGCTTTTGATTGACTTAGGGCTATGGAACCTATACAAGCATTCAGGGGTCTAAAAACTCCAGCACAGTCACCTGGGCTTTTCTGAGGGGTTCTAATGATCATCTTGAAGCCTCTTTTGTTCCCTTAGTTCTGTGTATGTGTTGAGGACATAATTATTTTGTTAATTGTGAAGTTAAGGATGAAAAAATACAAGAGCTGTTAAGTCATTCCCTTAATAGAAGCAGCTTACTAGTTTCCAGTGGTTTGAGAATATAATTGCCTTGTCTATTTTTTTTTTTTTTTCCCAGGCAGGCCTGATAGATGTATTTGTGCTTAAAAACAGCCTTACTGAATGCTCTCTTCTGTTTTCCAGGGCATGAGTGGGTTGGTTTCTGAACGCTGACTGATACCTTTTCTCTCCTTGGTGGATTCATGTGTTGCCTTGGATGCCCTGCTGTAAATCACCAGCTCTTGTTTCTTTAACTCAGAGACTTGTAATGTCTTCAAGAGATCCTGTGTCTGTTCCTTCCATCTCATACAGTTACAACCTAGTCTTGTAGTCCTGGGGTTGTAGTGATGAGAACACAGCACACAGTTACTCCTCCATCCGTGAATATGTACTCTGTAGGGGGAGAATCATTTCCACTTGCTTCTCAAGTTAACTTACCTTCTGGCTTTGCACATGTAATGAAAACTCAAGGACGACTGCTTATTTTTGATCCCAGGGAGGGCATGAAGTCATGCTTCTGCAGTTTGTGACTGTGCTCTAGTCCACTGAACAGTGACCGGAACTCAGTGTAAATAATTCTCTGATGCCTCTAACTGACACTGAGATTTACCTTTTTTTCAGTGGCCAGGTGGTGTTTCCTGTCAACAACGGAAGATTAATTTCTCTCTCCTGTTTTCTTGTTAGAAGAAGGTTGTCCCGCAGAGAACAGGATAGTTGAGTCTGCTCTGACAAATAAAATGTGGTCCTTGGACTTCTGGCAGCTGGCCAAAGCAATCCTGGCTTGGTAAACGCTGGATGTCAAGTTACTTGGCATGTTAATGGCTGACATGCATATGTTTTACTAGCAGAAAGAGCTAAGTTATGTGCAAGGCTTAAAATCGGGACAAATATGCCCGTTTCACTGTTTGGAAGTTGGTGGGGGTTTAGTGAATCCAGGCAAAGCTTTTGTGGCTGGTTTTCAGTTCCGTATAATGAGTAGCTGGAAAATAAGTTCTTACTCCTGCTTGATGTGAACTAAAAAAGAAGTATATAATTTAGCTATCAGGATTTTGTCAAGACTCTTAAGAGTCCAGGCTGCTTTGGATGTATTTGTAAATGTACTTATTTCAAGAGTAGCAAAGGTACCAGTTGCTTGGGAGAAGTACACTAAATTCTGGGTTTTTTCTTTGTGTTTATGCCATTATATGCTATAGTTTAGGCTGCACTTGTTTAAAAGCAGCGAGATGTTTTGTACTTCATTTACTGTAGTGTGTTTAAAACTCTTACAACAGTATTCCAATTTTCTGCATTCTCAGCTGGCTGCCTGTCTTGTTTCTTAGCATTTCTCCCTTTTTTGGCTTTAGGAGTGTCTAACAACTGTTTGGCTTCTCCTGGCTTCTGTTTACTGGATTTACAGGGAAGATTTCTTGGCAATCAGTGTTGCAGCTTCCAAGTGTAAGCTTCTGGCTTCCTGTCGTGCCCCAGGTGATGCAAGAGTCCTAGCATACGCAGACAGTGCTTATTTTATTCTAGGGTGGTGGTTGTTTTTAAACCACAGAGTGTGCTGGGTTCCTTACAAAGCAAGGACAGAAGCTACTGCTTAAAACTTGTAGAGCTGAAACTACAAAGCCAGTCCATTAACTGTGCGGTTTCTGGCCCTAAGAGCAGTTGCCATTCTGGTTACAGTAATATTGTGCAACTGGAGGAGAAAAGTGAGGAAGTGACAAAGCAATTAAAAGGCTGACAGTGGATTAGAGTGGGGTGCAAGAAGTGTGTCCTGTTGCTGCTTCTGAGAATAACTTAATTTGCAACTTGTTACATGGAGCTGATGTTGAGGTTGAAGATCCAGGGCAGCAGCGTGAGTGGATGCTTCAGCATTGTGTGTATCCCAGTTCGTCACCTTTGCAGCCCAATTAGAGTTTAGTCAAAGGAATTTTGCCTTAGAACAACGCTTCATAAACCTTGTATCAGACTCGGAGGTGTGATGGTGTGAGATTGGAGGATGTGGAGGGTGTTCAATTTCAGTCTTCATACCTGTTGATGCTCTTAGAAATGTGAATCTCTCACCGCTGAAGCAAAGTTTTCAGTGGATGTCCTGAGGTGTGGATGTGCCTTCCTAATTAGCATTTCTGGTGCTGGCTTTAGGAACTTCAGAAAACACTTGGTAGCCTTGATCCTAGCTACTCAACTGTTGGTTTTGTGGGTTGGTTTTTTCTTCTTTTTTTCTCCCGATGGTTAAAGGAGGGGAGGGGAGGGAATTGGCGCTTCCTGCTGGAGGAAATACTGAGGAGGAAAACAGGGTATGCGCTAACAGGGGAAGGACATGGGGTAATGAGAGGAGCAGGAATTTACTGGTCCTGATCCTACAGTAAAAGTGTTAATTTTCAGGGATGTGGTTAGGGCAGAAGGGCTGCTGTACGCATCATGTATTTACTGCCTGTCGGCAGTGATGAACTGCACTGTAAGGCTTGGGAGAAGTGAAGAGTACCTCCTGTCTACTCAGCTGTACTTCAGCTGTTGTCTGACCCCCACACCTGCATGCAAAATGAACTAAACATGACAATTCAGTCTCTGTAGGAACAGCCATCAGTGCAAGACTCCTGCCTACAGAGGAAGGCCACTTGTGGGTTGAAAGTGATGCATGGTTCTAGACACAACACGGTTCATAGTGATGGATTCCAGCTTCCTCTGTAGAATGTGTTAACATACTGTGCTGGCTTTGGACAGGAAAGAGTTAATTCTTCGCAGTGGCTGGTGTGAAGCTCTGTTCCTGGATTTGCTCTGAGAAAAGGGCTGATAAGGTGTCTTTGTAGCTGGTGCTGGGGAGTGCCTGCACCAAATTCAAGGTCTCTCTCAGCTTCTGATACTGCAGCTGCGTTCCCAGCTCTCTCTCGCTACAGGCAGTGCAGGGACGCACAGGTCAGACAGCTGACCCAAACTGACCAAAGAGGTGTTTCATTCCATAGTATGTCATGCTTGGTACATAAGTGGGGAGTGGGCTGGGGGGGGCATAACTCCTTTGCTGGCTCCTTAACTCCTTTGCTAACTCCTGTGCCGGCTCATTTGTGACGGAGTTGGTGGGGCTGTTAGTTTTCCCGGTCGTGCTATTGCTGATAGATAGGGTTTGCTCAGAATCTGCTGCGATCGCTCTCGGGCTGCGGCTCTCAGGCTCTTTGGCTCTGACTCTGACTTCTCGGGACCTAGTTGTGCATCGGTTGGCGAGTGGTGAGCACTTGTATCATATGTTTTATTTTTTACTATTTTAATTACTTAGTACTAGTAGTATTTGTATATATTCATTTAGATTCAATTAGTAAATAGTTCTTATCTCAATTTTATGAGCTTCCTTGTCTTTTTCCTCCAATTCTTCCTTCCACTGGAGGGAGGGGTTGGAGCTATGAGAGTGGCTTTGTGGTATTTTCCCTGGCCAGAGTTAAACCACTACACGTACCATGCTTTATTAGGTTTTGATTTGACATTAATATTCTGCTAGTTCAGTACATCAAGAATAGTAGATATGCTGCTAAATTTTCTTGGGTTTTTTTAACATTTGTTAAAAAATAGATCTATGGTCTGTGATTGTTCACAAAAAACCAACTTGTATGTGTAACCTCTCTGAGCACCTCTAGATTTGGGTCCTTTTAGAAATGTTTGACAAAGGATTTCAGTAGAATTTCCTTGAGATGTATATTTTTTAAACTGCATCAAGATTGTTTGTTTGTTTTCTCCATGTTCAGTTCACCTCCAGAGGCTTTGAGACAATGTTCTTTAGTTGTCAAAGGTACAAACCTAAGGGACAGGAGTGGAATTTAATTATAATCCTGGTCTGTGATTCTGCATCACTTTCCTTAGTGCCAAGTCAGCTGTAGATACTCCATCTCCTTGCTTCATAGGGCTTTGTCCCCTCTATTAGACCTGTTTGACTGCTTGTGCAGCTGCCCGCTGAACAGCATCTGTGACGGGATCCAGCACAAGAGCCTCCCAAATGAAAGTGCCCTTGGGCAGGCGGTCTAACCCTTTGTTCTGGTTTAGACTGTAACCCCGTGGTCATATATAGTTGAACAGACAAAACCGGGTATTGTTACTACACTCTTGTGTATAAACAGCAAATAAACCCTAATTATATAGATTTGTAAAGTGTCTGTTTGCCAAAGCTGAAACTGCATGGTGGGTACCTTATCTGGAAGGCAGGAGACTGTGCTAAGCCCACTGGGGTCTACTGGCTGTTTTGAAGTGGGTGGCTTTCTCACTGTTGTACAGGGAGACTGGAAAACAATGTTGTTTGTCACGGTGTTGAACAGGGGCAAGGGTTTTAGAGTCAAGGCTTTTGTTAAATAGGAAACCTCCCATGACAAGTTTCTCTCCTCTCTCTTCTATTGCTGCAAGACCCAAACAGGATGATTGAGTAAGACCCACTGTAATTAAGTCAGCGTACTTGTTTTAAGAAGGAATACATGTATTTTTCAGCCATACTTACATCATTTCTCTGTTCCAACCTAAAAAGCCTGCCAATTCAAAATAGGGAGGACATTTGGCCATGTCTTTCCTACCTGTTTGATGATGACTTATATCTACTGCCTTCTTTTTCCCCCCAGTTATTTGTAGTAGATGTTCAGACTGGCCAGATTACCAAGATTCCCATTCTGAAAGATCGTGAACCCGGCATGGTGAACCAGCAGGGATGTGGTATTCATGCCATCGAGCTCAACCCCTCGAGGACCCTTCTGGCCACAGGTGGAGACAACCCCAACAGCCTTGCAATTTATCGCCTGCCTACACTTGATCCTGTCTGTGTGGGAGATGTAAGTGGGAGTATTTGGGGAAGGTTTATTCTGTCCTTTAGGGGAATTACTACTTTGAATTGCCTAGGGTCAGAGCAGGGGTTTTGGGGGTCTTGTAGTGGAGAATGAATTTCTGAAAGCTTGAAAACATTCCTAAGTTGTCTTTTTGACAAGACAGAATATAAGTGAGTACACAGTCACATCCTTGTTCCTCACTTTCATTCAGGTCTACTTCAGATTATTCTTAAGCACTGAAAATGAAACAAAATCCTAAATATTGAAGTCTAACGGTGGTGATGGCCCCTGGAACTAGTTTTAATGAAAAAGCTGTTGAGAAATTGAAACAATGATACAGGTTTATCAAGGGATACAAGTTGTTCAGATTTTCCCTTCTCCAGTGCAGTTTATGTATGTGTTATTCCAGAGGTGGAACGTGGCTTTGAGGATTTAGTTCTAACCGCAGTGACTTATGGCAGTTTGGTACTGCTTATGTTTCTGAAACACCATAAGTCCTTTTGGAAATAGCCAGTCTGAAAAAGAAAAAAGGTTAAAATGAGTATAGTGGTGTCCTGTAAGCACTTCTTTTGCATTTCTCCTTTTTATTCAGGACTTCACCAAGACCTTAACTGCAACAGCTGAGGTCGGGTCAGAGTTCCTACAGTGGCAGATAACCAGCTGCAGAAAGGCTTGACTAAAGATTTGCATGACTGGCTGTTAATTTGCATGCTGCTGTGACTTTGCAGCTTTTCAAACAGAACTAGAGCCTTGTGTTCTGTTTTTATTTCCCCACAGGTTTCTCACCTGCTAAAAAAAAGATTATCGAAGTAAATAGTCTTGAAAAATTTATCTGTTGGTCATATACTGTAAATGTAAGATTTTGGTTACTTTTTATAGTAGGGATCTGCATTTGGGGAAATAGAAGTGTGAAGCTACTCTGAGAAGTAGAGAATGGTGCTTTCAAAATGGAAAATCTAAGTCCTTAGAATTGAGATCAGTTTGGCCGAGGTCAGAGAGCTGTTTCTTCATCATCTAATTGCTCTCTATGAATTATACACTTCAAAATAAAAAAAAAAGTAGGTTCCAATTACAGTTAGGCATTTAAACTGCTCCAGCTTGATACTGGAATCTTATCTGTACGTTCTTAATGCAGGCCTGTCCTGAATTTGTGCTAAAAACCAACGTGAAGAATACTTGTCTGCTTTTAGACCACTCTAGACCATAATGATGCAGAAAAGTCTCTTTTTCTTTTAGGATGGACATAAGGACTGGATATTTTCAATTGCGTGGATCAGTGATACTATGGCTGTTTCTGGTAAAGTCCGTTTTTACTTTTTTCTTCCCCCCCGCCCCCCCCGAGTTTTATACCAAGGGACAGCACTTTATGGATCTCAGTGAAGCACTGTTACCAGGGCATTTGAAACCACTTGGAACTGCCGTAGCTATTTAAACCCTTCTTGGTGTTAGTACAGTGCTTCACTTGGTTTTGTTTGTAGAGCCCTGGTCTAGGTTTGATTTTCCAAGTGCCAGAGGCAATATTGCTGTCTTTCCAGTAGGTGTTGCCATGAGGGGATCCCTAAACACTGTGAGTTACTGGGAAGGATTCCACACAAGAAGAATAATTTCACGAAGGGTGTTGGTTATCAGTTGGTAACTTTGGGACACAACAGAGCAATATCAGTTTCCTGAAGCCCTATGCAAGACTAATTAATGAAAACTCAGTTTTTCTGTCAAGCTGCCAGTAAAGTTGTATGTGTATATATGTATATGTACATATACTAGGGCAGTTAATATCGTAGGCTGAAACAGAAAAGGTCTATTTTTGAGTTTTTAGTTGGATAATCACTGTAACTTCATGAAGTATTACTTTGGTAAAGGCAGAAATATTGATATGCTGTTGCATTAATTTAGTAGTTCACTGTCTTTCTGTGCTGACATTGTGTAGCATTCTCTACAAGGAGGTGTCAAAATGAGTGACAGAAAACTGTAACAGTCTCTCATAAGAAACAAATACTTAAATTGTTAGCTCACTAGGATTTTCTTTTCTCCTAAAACCAGAAAGCTAATCCTGGAATTTGATTCTGAATTTAATAAAAAACTTGATCCTTGCAAATCTCCAACCCAAATATGTGCATTTTAAAAAGACTGTCAGCTAGTGAGCTTGAAGAGAACAGCAGAGGTGATTACAGATATCCAGGGGAAGATAAGGACCCAATAGAATAGAGAGGCACCGCATTCCAGATTGCTCGTGTTGCTCAGGGGTGGAGGTGTGTATAGAAGACTGCCATGTTCTCTGTGGTATTTTGCTTACAGCAGGACATAGGTTCTAGTCTCCAGACCTGAGACACCTGGGAAAATTTGTGGGGAGCAATTAGCAAGTCTGATTGTGCCGTGGTTTAGCAGTTAAGTACCATTCAGTCACTGGAACACTTCCCTTTCCCCTCCCCCAGTGGAGAAGGGAAGAAAGGACAAGGAAAGTGGCCAGCAGGTCAAGGGAGGGGATTCTCCCCCTGTACTCTGCTCTGGTGAGACCCCACCTGGAGTGCTGCGTCCAGCTGTGGAGCCTTCAACATCAGAAGGATATAGACCGGTTGGAGCGAGTCCAGAGGAGGCCACTGAGATCCTCCAAGGACTGGAGCACTTCTGCTATGGGAACAGGCTGAGAGAATTGGGCTTGTTCAGCCTGGAGAAGAGAAGGCTCCGGGGAGACCTTATAGCACCTTCCAGTGCCTGAAGGGGCTACAGGAAAGCTGGGAGGGACTTTTTACAAGGGCCTGTAGTGACAGGACAAGGGGTAATGGGTTTAAATTGGAAGTGATGAGGTTTAGATTGGATATCAGGAAGAAATTCTTCCTGGAGAGGGTGGTGAAGCACTGGAACAGGTTGCCCAGAGAAGCTGTGGATGCCCCATCCCTGGAAATGTTCAAGGCCAGGCTGGATGAGGCTTTGAGCAACCTGGTCTAGTGGAAGGTGTCCCTGCCCATGGCAGGGGGCTTGGAACGAGATGGTCTTTGAGGTCCCTTCCAACCCAAACCATTCCGTGATTCTATGGGAGGACATTCCATCCCTTCATCCAGGTCATTGATGAATATATTGAATACGGCTGGGACCCGCACCCGACGCCGGGG